ATTCGGTATTTTCTTATAAACTCAGCACCTCCGTACTCAAGCCGTTGCCTAAATTATCCACATACTTCTGTACATCTGTACTGCTCTGCTTTAGGGGCGCAACATGTGTCACAAAGGTAAGGAACTTTCCACTTCCATATCACTACGATTTTTTTTTTTTAAGTAAATGAATGTGATAACAGGCCACTCCAAGTAAAGAAATATGATTGATTTCTCCCTGGTTTATTCAATCCGGTGTGATATAGGGAATGGTTGAACGAGACTCCTCCTTTCCCATTCAAAAACGTCTCTGGACATATCTCCAAATTAACGAGATGGCTCTACGTTGCGTTTTACCAAATACACATACACAAGCATAACCCGTATATTTCCAAGATTATTATTGATTAACTATGATCATTATTATCATTTTACGAAACAAACGTTAATATGTAGTGTTCCTTTCGCCACTTCCATTGTATCCAAGTTAAACTTTCCATCACACCGGCAGTTTCATGTTTACATTGACCCTTATTTGTCTGTCCTATCCAACGTTGTTATCTTTAATTCTTCTTTCTTTTTAACGTGTGATCGATTTTTGACTATAAATTCAATGAGAACAAAATCAAAATCCGGGTGTCTTACTAATCAACTTGATTTTTTTTCTGTAGATAGGTTAGATTTCCCTTGCAGTGTAGGGTTAATTGGGTTAATTCCGTAACATTGTACTTTTTATTACAAAATCGTATATATATATATATATATATATATATATATATATATATATATATATATATATATATATATATACATACTGGCTATTCATATTGTGTACATGATAAACTATGAAGACTTTTTTATAGTTTATCACTTGAGCTTAACTTCCAAGTGACACCATCTTCATTTTAACACAGTTACTATAAATACTGATCAGTGTTAATAAGTCAATAGGGAGTCAGATTTACATTTTGATAGATGTGGCGATTTAACCTTTTTGACTACTGGCATTGTAGCGTACTATACACGTAACTTGGATTGAAAAACAATGCAAATCAATCTTGGTGGTCCTTCTAACAGCAAAATCATTGTTAAAGTTTTTGTTTCTCTTCATGATATATATATATATATATATATATATATATATATATATATATATATATATATATATATACTTTGAACGAAAGCTTCAACAAGCTAAGTTTCACCACTTTTCAGCATATATGCAACATTCTGTTACAACTAGAGTAATCCAAATTAATCTCTTCCGCAGATCTGATATCCGAAAATACCTTCTAAACATCACAATAAAAATATATATTTCCTAACAATAAGTTTACTTTTGATTCTCAAAGGTTGTCGTAGGGGAAACGCAGATTTCCGTGTAATGATACGCTGCTGGGGCTCGTATATTTTTAAGAAAATTATTGAAAAGGTTACTGATGTGGTTTCAATGTTCTTGGATGCAGGATTTCTTTAAGCATGGAGATGTGAAAGCACCACCACGGTCTTCAATACGATTTTCTGATACATTATTTAAATCATAATTTCCTCCAAACTTTTAGTTCGATCGACTGTGTCTCATACTTCTCCTAAATCAAAATTACATTAACATACATATTTACAATTGACTACGAGTACGGCAGAAAAGCAATCAATTGGTGTTCTGCGCATGCGTGATGAAACAGACAAGATGGCGGCGTTCGACACGAGGTGAACCCCTCTCAATTTGGTTAGATTCATACTTATTACTTGGAAATAACGTTCAAAATGCGCATATGTATGTTTGCTCTACGCCTAACCACGAAAAATCGAATACGGCTACCGTACGCCTAACACCGGACAACTTACAATCTGTTGGGATTACCTAACGAAGTCAGTAATTGAATGGAAAATATCATTCATAAGGGCGATTTCTAATAAACACTATACCAATAAACTAACATAGGTCAACAGAATACAGTTCCATAATATGCTATTTTTAAGCTTGTTTTAACACCACCCCTACCCCGCGAACCCCTACTGTCTTCCTCACCCCCTACCATAGTGAAGTAAGTAGTATGGTGTGTCACATGCAGCTTCTCTTGTTGCATCACCGCGCTTCCTCCTTGTGAAGAAGCATGTCCGTAAGCCCTGTCTCGTCGTCGTGTGTTCTCTTATTCATGAACAATATGCATTCAGATTCTGCTGCAGTGCTTCAAGTTCCTCTCAGATCCTGGTTCGTGTAATAAGTGTTTTAAAATCATGTTTTACATAACGCATTTTAATTATCATTTTTATGCACATACATACACCGCACATCCATTCACACACAGACACAGACACACACAGACACAGACACATGCACACATATATGTGTATAATCTCTCTCTCTCTGTATATATATATATATATATATATATATATATATATATATATATATATATATATATATATATATAATATATAATATATAATATAACTAGGTACACGGTGTGTATATATATGTACATAATATATACATGTATATATATGTATATATATATTATAATATATAATATATAAAATATATATATATATAATATATATATATAATATATATATATATATAATATATTATATATATATATATAATATATAATATATATGTATATATTGTATATAGACATATATGACAGACACAGACACAGACACAGACAACAGACACACACAACAGACACACACACACACACACACACACACACACACACACACACACACACACACATACACATACACACACACATACCATCATATATTATATACACATACAACATCAATATTACTCCACCACACCCCTCATTACTGATATACACATTTTTCTCTGTCAGTATTTTGTTATTACTTCCCAAAAGGGTTCTTTCACTTATTTTAATTCTTTGTTGTCAGAGAGAGATGGTAGAGAGAGAAAGAGAAGAAGTGAAGTGGTGGAGAAAAGAGGAGGGAAGAGGAGAAACAGAAATAAAAATTAGAGAAAGAAAATTAGAGTATATTATTGTGCCCATCAGAAATGATTTGGAAAGAGGGGACTTGTGAATCTTGCAAGATAAAGGTTTGAGAACCCCTTGTCTAGAAAACAAAAGTTCATGCTTATTCCAAAATAGCATCAATGGGACTTTCTTACAAGTTTTGTATGTGGTTTAGGTATGGCATGATGAATTTGATATTTAGTCTTATTCATAACATTTATTTACTTTTCATTTACTTGCATATATGCAAATTAGATTTAAACTCCTCAGTACCCTTTTATATGAGTATAGAAAGATCTCTTTAAATTTTTAGTTATTATGTATGTTAAAAACATGCAGTATTTCAATAAGAAATAAAACAAGCCATTGTCTGATCTGATCTTTATTTTTGAGTATTTCAAACTACATGTTGCATATATATCAGCTCAGCACTGACTATACTGTCTAGTCCCTACCATCTTCCTCCTACTCTAAATATAATCACGACACTTTGAAGTTACTCCCTACCACTTCATATATCTCGTACAAGACTACATCATCCAGATATATAACAAAGTACACAAACTAGAGACTCTCTAAAAATAGCACAGAATTTCCTAGTGAATAATTTCAGCTTCTAGATTTTCATCTCTTACCATGTACAAAATGATTACTATTCTTTTTTTGTTCAAAATTCACAAGATAACCATTTTCTCCAATAACAGCAATAGACAAAACATAATATTGCTTCACTTAATTCAAAATATGTTTGCATAATGGGCGGCCCTCAGGCACACATGCTGGGCCCTACTGGTGCGTGCAGCTAGAGTGCCAGGTGCCTGTACTATTAGGTTGGGGCGAGATATCCATCCTTATTTAACTGGTGAAACAATTTTCCCATTTGCTGAAGCAAAAAATGTATAATCTTGCCCTGACCAATCATATCTACAATGCACCTATATGGTCATCATCCAGCCACCCACATCTTCAGCCAAGGCTCTACCTCACCAGGTGGGTGATTCCGTGGCACGCACATGCGAGTACATTAGTTGTAAAAACAAATGCCTATCACAGGAGGCAACTCTCCAACCTCGACAGTTTGTGCCAAATGCTCCAATGTGCAATGTTAACTTGTGCATAGCAGTGGGAGTTATTTCTCCCTATTGTTTCATGGTTAGCATAAACTTTTTTGCACTTCACCTGTTTCCTGTAAGCAAAGGAATGTTAAATACCTGGTTATGTAATACCTTCAGGGTACTGTGTCAAAACCATTATGAAAATAATATCCCTCTCATGCATTCTTACTGGCATTATCTAACTTCCTTTAAACAATTCAGACTGAGAATACTAATGTAACTACTGCTATAAAAATAATTCTGTGATTTAATTATCTTTTGCAAATAAATGTTATAAAATCAAGAACTAGCAGTAATTGCATAAAATCATCAGTCTGCGACTGGAATCTGGCATTTACTAATCATACAAGAGTCTGGGACAGGATTGGCAAAATAAAATACAGTTGGAGCTAAAGGGGCAGGATTTGCTAAAGGGGAGAGGAACCTGTTTAGGCGAGGAACTTGGGTTGCGACATGGCTGCTCCAGTCCATCTTTGAACTGGGCTCTGGTAGGAATGGTTTGGATTCTGCTTCCATGTGTAGAACATAGGAACTAATCTCACACACAGAATCAGATAGCCCAATGCCACACCACTTACACCTGCTAACATCACAAAACTTATTTTAAAATCAGTAGTGTTTAAAACTTCTGCAGAATGCTCATGGTAGGCAAGGGTGACTGATGGGATAAAATATGGGTCAGGAGGTAGAAGGGTGGGTTTGGGACGGAGGCTTTGCTCCCACCGTCAGACTAGCATTTGACACTATCACGACTTCACAGCAGCAACTTGCTGCTTGGACCTCCCTAGAACTCCTCGCACATCAACTAGAAATTGGAACACACAAGATTTCCCTATAACTTATTTAAAACTAAAACCTTTATTGATTGAAATATAACACAGAAAGATAAAAAAGAAATGATTGTCTTGAAAAATGTCACAACCTCTACTACATCCTTTTGATGTAGATGGGTGTGGCCACTTTGAGAACAAAGTACAGTACTTTGGGTGACTATCTATCCTCTCTGTAATTAAATTAATATGAATTGCTCAGTGTGAGGTTAAACTAAACTAATTATTCTATCACTTGTGCGAGGGCCAAAGGAGGCCTCAACATAGGACCCACATTACCGGGGAGCGAACCCTCTACCCTGAGGCTTCATCAGGACTACATCATTAAGCATGGAAGTGTGTCTTGGGTGTATGTAAAAGTACTCAAAGAACAAAAGTTGAGTTAAAGTCTGAACATATAAATGAAAGTAAATGAGATTGGAAACTAAAAGCTGGAGCAAAAGTTGAATTGAAAAACCACAACACACACCAAAGACATCACCAAGTGACAGCCAGTGCTGGGGGAGGAGACCAACCATAGCATGATCATATGAGATTCCTCAAAGGGGAGTACTCGATATCACGAATTATGATAATACTGATCATGTCAATAAACAATATGTTCAATGCTATGACTGGTTTCCAGGCACATCAACATTCAGTTATCACACTTCAAGGTCCCAAAAAGACCTAATCATGGCACAGATATTGATCACAACAAAAGTTCAAGTCTGTTTTAAATTCAACTTTTGTATACATCAGTCATGTAACTGTGTATCCCAATAAGAAAATATATGCCAACAGCAAATAAAAATCAGAGGCAAATTAAGTGAAAAACACCGGAGATTTGCATTATGCATACCTGAACATCTATTGTGATCACCAATTCACAACCACACCAGCACTGTCCGTCAAAAGCTGCGAGGTGGCACAGGGGGTTCACATATGGCGGGGGATTTCTGATACTGTGGGAAATTAAGGATGGAGGAAGCTGCAGAGGAGGCACAAGCATATCTACAACAAAATCCCACTTTCATGGTTATTCTATGTTGCAAGAACTACTTCACTTGGTTCATTAAATCACAACAAAATGCATATCAAAGTGTGGTATCATTATACAGGTGTTTATCCTTAAATGCAGGGTTTGTAGTGCTTGGCCTCTCCAGCAGCTTCCCCTGTGTTTCCTGAGCTGCCTAACGAGTCACGGGCTACAGGGAATGTCTTTTCATTAATCTATCACCTGTGAGGTAGTAACTACAAATTGGGAAGCAAAAAGACTGCTAGTTATTACCACCTATTGCATAGGACAAATATACAGAAATTTATATTAAAAAAAAACTCTATAAAGGAGATTACAAAAAAGCTTCTGTAAAAATAAAGAGGAACTTAACATCTACCCTGATATAGTACATTAATATCATACCTTCAATTATCACTTGTATGCACCACTTAAATTTGTGGACTTAAATAGCTGTGCAATCACCAGTTTCTTCAGACAAGCAGAAGATCTTGGAAAGCTTTATGCAGTGAAGGCAATGCTGCAGAACTTTCTCACTGAAGAGAGAGCAGTCTTATCACATAATTACTGCTGAACAGAATATATAGTTGACATAATCAGGGGAGGCTAGCCAGTGCATACAAGGTCAATCCATTGGTAGTACAAGCAGCTTCTTAGCATTGGCTCAATATTTCTGTATTTATTTTTGCATAAATGACTGCATAAGCCTTCTGTTCTAAAGACCATTGTGTTTCCAACATTGATGTACCTTTTTTTCCTTAATTTTCAACATTGAACACAATATACTATTATCAAGCTTTGTGAGTATATAGGCCAAGACTCTACATCTTTTTTTATCTTCTAATTCTGGAAGACTAATAATAGGCTGGAAAAGGGGTACCCTATCTTCCCATTAAGGCAACATACTTGCTCAATGTGATTAAGTAGATTGTCCTTATCCTACAACATAAATATACTGCAACTGTAGTCAAAAGACAGAAAAAATATATAAGTACAATATTTACAAGTAAAATTATGTTCTTGTATTTAGATCAGACAGACATTTATTTATTACTTAATGCATAAGTGTAGTTGAATTAATAAAAAAGAAATTACAAAAATCAAACAACAAATATAAGGCCATATAATTATATGACATAAAAAAAATATATATATACTGAGAATTTGGGGGGTGGATGGGTGGGTTTGGGGATCTTTTGGGCAGTCAAACAGCGAAATAATTTCATGAGCCTTGGCCTTTATACGACACAGAGCTCCTCCAGCAGGCGCTGCTCCACATGAGGTATTAATTCGTCACTGGGCAGGTTGAGACTCAGTAGGATGTGCCTTTGTGTGCGCCTTTGTAACCTCTCTGCAAGATGGGAAGCTTGGAGACTCTGGGCATCGGAAGAGCCAAGGAGAGTGGTAACAGCTGAAGGACCCAGGCGGGACCCTAGAGCTGCCACCATGCCCTCCAAGTTGCCCTGCTCAGTGCCTACCCAGACATACACGCTGCCTGATAGGTTTAAAAGGTGGTAATATATAGTACTGTCTCCCTGTTGGCTACAGAACTCCTGTAAGCCAAGGCCTGGTGCAATCTCATCCATGCCTTCCATGATTTCTTAAGTAATTATTACTATATTTTCTCTCACAAAAGTAAGTAAAATGTTTCACTTCACTCCTTTCCTGCAAAAGAAAACACACTTTCTTAAGCTATAATGGCCTTTCCTTTGCTCAGTTCTCCTCCTGACTTGCTGGAAAAATTGCTCAAATCTTTACAAGCATCACTTCATCACAGCCAGGCAACTTCACAACAAAAAATGCAGTCCCACACTAGTTACTTGTTTGTGAGTCTGTCCTTTTTAATATTAAAAATCATTTGCATGCATAATACTTCATGTGGCTTTATTTTATCATTTATTAATATTATTATTATTATTTTTCTTTCAAAGGCAATTGTACTTGTATTTTTTTTTTGTAATTTTTTTAGTATACAGAACAACACAGACGTTCTACAGAAGCTAATTCACTCTAAGTTTTGCACATTACAAACTACACTCATATAGGCAAAGAATAGGTCTCTTTATTTCTTCTGTGTTTGCTTGTGTTTTACAAAGTGCAGCTTGAATGGTATTTGGGAAGTAATGACTGGAGATAGGAACTTTTTGCTACTTTGGGTTTGTTGTGTCTCAGATTTCAGCTTCCTTTTCTCTCTAAAAAAAGAAAATATCATCAGTTAAGAAATAACAGTGGCGAGAGAATAAAAGGTGAAGGAAAATGAATTATGAAAATGTGTTCTGTAATAGTACATTATTTCACCTACGGAATACATTACATTACACATTCTAATAAAGCATGTTTATAGGAAAGGTACCTTACAGAGCTTCTTGCAATCAAGTGATAATAATCTGTGCATTAATAGCAATAACAAAAATGCAACACTGCGTATCCCCATGCACCATGCCTTTCTATGTCTATATTGCTATGCTTGATAAGCCTTTAATTAATGTTCTGTTGCTAGTCCTCACCCTTAATTAGCTAGTAATGCACGTATATCGATTTACTTTGTTGAAAATGCGATGTTTCAGCAGATTATATTCAGTTTTTCCAGTGTTATGTTTTCACACTCGCGTTGCAGCCAACAGCTGACAGCTTGGGGTAGGCATCTTTCTTGGTTTGCAAGTCAAAAACAAGCTGTACATTTTGTACGTTGTGGTAATATGTGAATTGTAATAAAATGTAAAATAAATTTATAGCTTCTGTGTTTTATTCTTTATCTGATCAGTGATTTATTCCATATCACCTGATTTTCAACTTTCAAAAGATGGTATGCCTCCTTACCGCTAAACGCAAAAATACATCTGCTAATAAATGCAATTCCGTGGACACGACCGAGATCTAGCCATCTACAGGTGACTTATACATGTATAAATGAATCAGCAACACGCATACACACGCACACAAAGAAATACAAACACACACTACTCACGCTCTCTCTCTCTCTCTCTCTCTCTCTCTCTCTCTCTCTCTCACTCCACTCCACAACACACACAACACACACAACACACACACACACACCCACACAGCACAACACACACACACACAACACACACACACACACATGCTCACACACACACACACATGCTCACACACACACACACATGCTCACACACACACACACACATGCTCACACACACACACACACACACACCACACACACACACACTCACACACACACACACACACACACACGCTCACACAACACACACACACACACACACACACACACACAACACACACACACACACACACACACATGCTCACACACACACAAACACACACACACACATGCTCACACACACACACACCCATGCTCACACACACCAACACACACCACACACTCACACGCACACAGCACATGCTCACACACACACCACACACACACACATACACAACACACACACCCAACACGCTCCAACACACACACACACACACACATGCTCACACACACACACACACATGCTCACACACACACACATACCACACGCTGCACAACACTCACACTCACACCACACTCACACGCACGCACACACAACGCTCACACGCATGCACACACACAAACACACGCTCACACACACACACACACACCACACACACAACACACACACAACACACACACACACACACACACACACACAACTCTCTCTCTCTCTCTCTCTCTCTCTCTCTCTCTCTCTCTCTCTCTCTCTCTCTCTCTCTCTCTCTCTCTCTCTCTCTCTCTCTCTCTCTCATTGACGCATGAATGAACTATCTATGGCATTGCAATGCCTATGATGCAAAACCTGTTTTTGATTACAAACATAGCAACACAGATAATGAAGTTGGTACATGGATGATGTACAATTTTTCCTCATAATCAATACTAATATGATATTTCTTGTTGTGGCTTATGTTATGGAATTCATTAGTTAATTATGCTGGATGTGCCAGTATGTGACTGAACTTAAATTTGTGAAAGTTGATAGTTTTGTAAGTGCAACCATGCATGTGCACCATCTATGATGAATTTGATGTTAATAAATGGTCTCTCCTTACCCCCTATCATGAATATTATGTATTAAATATTAACATTGGTAACATTTCAAAATATGTATCATACTCACCTTGAAGCATAATATTGTAATAGACATAAAACATTTTTATTGTAAGTGACAAGTAATATCTAACCCTTGATGTCATTTTACACAAAAATAACTTATCTACATCCATCCACATGTTGCTGGTGAATGACATTACTCAAGTTGATAAGCTTGTCAAAATATAATTTAGGTAAATATTAAGGGCATCAACAGGTCTCTTTTTCCCCCTTCACTACTTTATCCTAGATTTTTTTCATGCAGCTCATTGAAGTGAACCTTCCATCTGAAACTTTTAAAATTTAGTATGTGGTGCCACAAATATCATTATAATTACCTTTGTGAAATCTACTACACAGCCATGTTTTTTATGTATCTAGTAGTTTTCTGAAAAAGAAAAGAAATTAATGAATATTGGCAGATCTACAAATAAATATGAGCATGCAGTTATGTAAAAAAGAAATTCACACAAAATATGAGCAGAAACATGCAAAAAAAACTTCAAGGGACAGGTCAGGAGTCTACAGTCAATATTTAAATTTTGGTAGCTAAGGCAATCATGCTGCCGGCAACTGCCACTAAACACCATCACCATGCAAAATTTTCCAGTGAGAACCCATGCTGTCCTCCCTGATTTTAATCAGGATAAAGTGTTACCTTCATCACTACTAAAGGCACCCTTGCCCTCACTTGGCCTTGCTGAAGAGAGGTCCAATGCAGCTGCAGTCAGGCTGTTGGAGCTGCCTAGGAGAGATGAGGGGGTGCCTTGAGGGTCGAGGGGGTCTTTGTCAGGGGGGAGCTGCCAGTGGAGGATGAGGTGGAAGTAGGCACAGCTGACAGCTGACCAGAGTTCAGTAGAGAAAGTAAATTGACATTCATTCCCATGGATGCCAATGGGCTTGACGATAGATGGCTCTGGTGATCTGATATTCCACCATGTGTTCCACTGGAGGATACAGGAACACTGTTACCGTTAGGTTGTGAAGACCCCATATTTTGGTAGATGTTCTTCAGTGTCTCTATATAATAATTTCTAGCTGCTTCTGAATAAACAGTCTTCATGAGGTCAGGGTTAGTCAGCATTGTCTGCATGAGGGTTTGGTTCATGGCAGCTATCATCAAAGGGTTGAGAGGACTTAGGGGATTTAACATGTTCATTAAGCTGGCATTGGGATTCTGTTGCTGATGCTTTTGGTGTTGCTCCAACTGCTTTTGCTGCTGCTCCAACTGCTCTCGCTGCTGTTTTTGTATCTTTTCCAGCTCCTTCTCTCGCAAAACTTGCAGTTCTTTCTCTCTTTGCTGTTGAAGCTCTCGTTCGCGCTCTTTCTCAGCTAACTTTCTTTCCTCATATTCCTTCATGTCTTTGATATATCTCTGACGGTCTTGTTCTGATAGCTCTACAAACTTTTTCTTTTCCTCATCACCCATGTTCCTCCACAATTCCCCTGCTCGCTTGCCAAAATCAGCAAATTGTGGAAACTCCTTCCCTTCCTCCATCAATTTTCGTTTGAAATAAGCACAGAAGTGCATAAATGGAGTGCAGGCCTTCTTGGGCATGTCAGGTTGCCTGCGCCTCTTCTTTTTACGTCTGCGTGTAGGTCCTGGGAGTGTAACTGCCTGAGGAGCCATTCTGCCAGCAGATGGACCTTGTAGCAGAGCTTCATAGGACCTCATCATGCTGCCATTTTGTCTAGCCTGTGCAGCAGCTGCAAGGCTCCCAAGACCTCCCAGTCCCCCAAGGCCCCCCCCAAGACCCCCACCACTGCCACTTGCCAACAGCTTGAGCAGGTCCGTCTGTGATGGGGCACCACTCGTCCCATTCTCCCCACTGTAACAGCCAGAATAACAACTAACAACCACTGCACACTTCAGTCTCACAATTTCTATACTCACCAGCTCTATTAGTATCCATACTAGATCTTGAAAACAAAATTTCTGTGCCCTTTCATAAGTCTGGAAGTAATATTTATACTATTGAATCCCCTGCAAGACTCTAAACGAGGGATAATTCTGAGCTTCATCCACTCCGTACTCACCAATACATGTAGTGTTGTTCAGTGCAGAGTAGAGTGAATTATATACAAATAGTGCAAAGTACCAAAGATTGTGGAAACATGGAAAATGTCATGATGCTAAGCTTATCACAAGCTTGTGCCTACAATGGAAAATATCTCCATTCCTAAACCCTTGCAAAGTACATTGAAATAAGAAGTAAACATGGCAAATTCAAAGCAAGATTAAACATTAATATTGTTTGAAAAAAGCAATCCAAATGACAATAAAATGGAATCAGAAAATATGAATTTATGAGAAATCCTGACCCATCCCCTAGAAACAACTTTTTGATATGCTGTTAGAACTCCAAACAGCAATGCTCAAAAGGATCAAATTTAAAATATTTAAGATAAACCACAGAAAAATGTTAAAGTTATTAGTGGAATCCAAAAAAACATATATGAGCCAAAGAAGCTACAAACCCT